GTTTAGATCCATGTTCAATGAAGAGGCTGAAGGATCTACGAATTCTCCTGGGAGTCGGAGTGTCGTTCCGTAAACGAGTTGAGATGCCGTGTATCCAATGTCAGCTTTCACTGCATTGCGGATACCTAGCAAGACGAGTGGAAGAGCGTCTGTCCACTGTGAAACATTTGAAGCTGATAATGAAGCTTTTAGTTGTCGATGAAAACGTTCTACCAACCCGTTTGCTTGTGGGTGGTAGGCGGTCGTTCGGAAGCGCATGATTCCTAAAAGTGAGGTGAGACAACGGAAAAGTCCAGATTCGAACTGGCGTCCGCGATCTGTAGTGATGGTTGAGGGGCAGCCGAAATCTGCCACTCATCGTTCGACGAAAGCGCGGGCCACGGTTTCAGCAGTAATGTCCTTAATCGGTACTGCTTCTGCCCATCGAGTGAAACGGTCTACGCATGTTAAGAGATATGAGTATCCGTTTGAGTAGGGTAAGGGTCCTACCAAATCTAGATGGACGTGGTCGAAACGAGCGTTAGGGGTTTTGAAAGAGCCTAAGGGACATTTGTTGTGTCTTACGACCTTAGATTTCTGACAGCTTACACAGGAGCGTGCCCACTCCCTCACGTCTTTATTCATGCCAGGCCAACAAAAGCGTTCGGCTATAAGTTTGACTGTTGGACGTGCACCTGGATGAGAAAGATTGTGCAACGTATTGAAGACGTTGCGTCGATAATGTTTTGGTACTATTGGACGATCCCTACCTGTAGATGTGTCGCAAAGTAAGGTTTCCCTACCTGTTCCCATCTGCTTAATACTTAGTTTTAGAGTTGTCGAGGATAACTCATGCTGAAGATCAATGTCTTCTTTTTGAAGCTGAGCGAGTTTAAGAAGGTCGATTCCTTGGAAACTGTTCAAGGAACTTATTCGAGACAAGGCGTCTGCGACTACATTGTTAGCTCCAGAAATGTGTTGTATGTCTGAAATAAACTGCGAAATGTAGTCGAGTTGTCGAGACTCTTGCGGTGAGTACTTGTCTGAAGATGAACTTAAAGAGAAGGTAAGGGGTTTGTGATCGGTAAAAAGCGTGAATTCTCTTTCTTCGATGGAATGTTGGAAATGCCGTACAGCACAATACATAGCTAGGAGTTCCCTATCGAACGTGCTGTACCTAGATTCCGCATCTAGCAACCGTCTGGAGAAAAATCCTAAAGGTTGCCACGAGTTGTCAACCCATTGTTGTAAGACTCCTCCGATTGCTGAGTCGGATGCGTCTACTGTGATACTAATGGGCGCTTGAGTGTCCTGATGAGCAAGCAAGGTTGCTTTAGCGATGTGTTCCTTAACTGTGGAAAATGCTTTACGGGCTATGTCGTCTAAACTAACTGATTTCGCATTTCCACGAAGCTGACCGGTTAACGGTTTCATAAGGGATGCGCATTTGGGTATGAACCGTCTATAGAAACATACAAGTCCATTAAAAGTTCGCAACTGCTTGATCGTTGTCGGTTCTGGGTAATCCAGAATGGCCGCCACTTTGCTCCTAAGGGGTCGGTTGCCTTGAGCATCAATGGTGTGTCTTAGGAGGTTTAAGGAGTTTGTTCCGATTTGGCATATCTGAATGTTGACAGTAATGCTATGCCGTTGGAGTCGATTGAAAACAATGTCCAGATGCTTGAGATGCGATTTTCTGTCCGGACTTGCTATTAGACAGTCATCAACATACGCATGTACGAAGTTGAGACCTCGGAAGACGTCGTCTATAAACCTTTGGAAGGTTTGAGCCGCGTTTCTTAAACCAAAAGGCATTCGCAAGAATTCGTAAAGACATGAAAAAAGTGATGATGGCGGTTTTAGGAATGTCGTCAGGTGCCATCGGTATTTGGTTATAGGCCTTAACCAAGTCGATTTTTGAAAAGACAGTTGTACCTTTCAAGGTAGCTGTCAAATCGTGAATATGAGGCAATGGGTAACGACCGGGAAGGGTTTTTGCATTCAGACGCCGATAATCACCAGTTGGCCGCCAATCATTGCTGTCCCTTTTAGGGACCATGTGCAACGGGGATGACCATGGACTATTCGATGGTCGAATTATCCCTAAGTCCATCATATGGTCGAATTCGTTTTTAGCTAACCTAAGTTTTTCGGGAGCGAGTCAACGGGCTTTCGAGAATACAGGTGGTCCTGTAGTCGAGATGTGATGTGTAACATTGCTGGTTACACAAGGCAATTTCGATTGCGATTGGTATATCCCGGGGTATTTGTCGAGTACTGATTGGTACAAGGGGTCTATGGTGTGTTTAATCGTGACTGGGGATAACCTGCAACCAGAACAAGGAGTTACGCAAACAGATAACTTAGTGTTTCCGTCTATTAACCTTCGTGAGCGTGTGTCGATGAGTAGATTGTGGTGTTGTAACAGATCTATACCAATGATTGGCATAGAGACATCTGCAACCACGAAAATCCAGTGTATGGGTTTGCGTAAACCCACGTTAAGGTAGACGTACCTTTTACTGTAAGTAGCGATCGGCTTTCCGTTTGCCGCCTGTAGACTTAAAACAGACTCGCGAAGTCTGTCGTCGGGATTTGCTGGAAGAACGCTAACTTCTGCGTCAGTGTCGACGAGGTAGCGAACTTTCGTTGTCACATCTGTGACGTATAACAGATGGCTGTGTTCGCCGGCTACGGTTGCCGTTAACGCGTGCCGGCTGGGAAGTTTCCCGAACTGTTTTTCGTGTCACTCGATTTTTGGGTCGGATAATTGCAGGGTTTCCTGCAATTTCTAGAGGATTTACCGTACTGGTTGTGATACCAGCACCAATCGGGGTTGTCTGTCTCTCGTGGTCGAGAGGCAGATCGCTTACGTGAAACGCTCCTACATGAGGATTTTGACCGACTACGGTCATTACGAACTCTAAGATATCTTGTAAGCGTGTGACATAGTTCGGCCATGTCAGTCGAGGTCGATTGGGGTTTTTTTTGATGGAAAAAATCTCGGCCTTAGAAAATTTGGCGATTTCCAAGATTCGATCGGCAGATGCAGCTAGTTCATCTATGGCATTGTTTTGAAATGAAACAAGCACTGCCTGCACCTGTTGAGGGAGTTTAGACAAGAAAAGTTGTCTAAATAGGCCATCATCGAAAGTTCGTCGGTCGATGACTTCTCTCATTCCAAGCAACATGTCTGTCGCAGAACCATGTTGCAAGTCGATATTGTTAAGGAGTTGGTCTAACCGTTGTCGACCAGTTAGGTCTCCTCGTTTTAAAATCGATAGCTTAAGCGTTTCGTAAGGTTCGGAAACATCACTAGTAAACATACTAGGTGTTACGTACCTGTTAAACTCAGGCGGTAACGCCTTAACTACCGCGAGGAAACGTGTGCGCGAGTCCGTGATTCCGTGTATGCAAAAATCGGCTTCTGCATAGCAGAACCAGGACTCGATATTGTCCGGCCGAAATGGCGTTAACCGAATCGAAATAGGGGGAATAGACTTAAACTTAAGAACCTTAGGAGAATGTTCCGTTATAGTAATAAAGATAACGAAAAATATATCCGAGAAAAAAAATTCGCGAAAAAAGGTATATCACAATATATAAAATTCAAATAAAGAATAACAATGAATAATAATATTCCAGAATGGAACAGACTCACAGTATATTGGCTTGGTGTACCAGATCACGTTGGTCTCACCACTGAGGATACAACGGATATTCTAGTTTGGCAACTAGCAACCAGCAGTATCTTCTATAATCGTTCTTTCCCAGTCGAACAGAAACCAGAAGTCAGACGAGGAGAGGTAGGAAAGATATATTTGATACGTTACCAATATATCGAGGAACCTTTACTATAGGCTGGCTAATGAACGTAGGAGCTGTGTCCCACGCCGTGTTGCAACGTGATCTGGTACGGATGCATGACCGAAAGCCTTCAGTTAAACAAGTCCACTTAAACAACGTGGTCGGCATCCAATGACGAACACTTAATGAGCTGTTGATTTTGGGGAATTATTTACAGCCACATGAGGATACAGAACAGTGAAATATGTTCTGGTAAGCCGCAGTAGAGTAAATAGCGTCGATTGGCGATGAGTGGTTTCGAATTTACATGACTGGAGTTTATATGGGATAAAAATAATCCGGCCGTACGATGATGACTGCATCAATGGGTGATATTCGTGCTATACTGCTATTGATAATGATCATATAATGCGAAGTCAGTGTACGTTGTCGCTTGCGTTGAGTTATCGTTAAATAATTATTAGTAGAATCACTAGAGGAACATGATAGTGACTGCTGAGACGAGATATGCGGAGTCGTATTCCTTTTTAGTCATGAAGCCTAGCGTGGTTTATGTCGTTAGAGGGATATGCACTAAACCTCGTTTGTTACGAAACCTTTAGCTACAAGAGTATAGGCGTCTCGGATGTGACTTTTCAATGACCACTAAAATCCTTTTAGACACCTATTCAAGCTCAGTCCAAACACAAACCTTAAGGGAAACACATTGAAATTGGGGACGCTCACCTGTGGAACGGACTGTATACATACCTTCTACTCCATAAGAGTAGTCAAATTTTGAAATTCACTGACGCCTGAGGTAGTCTAATTGAATTGCGCCAACCAAGTAAAATCAAAAGTCAGAAGCGAGGAGGTTTGAAGATATAGAAAGATAGATTATCAAAATATCGTGGAGTGATTGATCTAAACTGGCTAGTGATCGCAGGAGAAGTTTAGCACGCTGTTCCGACTCGTGATCTGGATCGGATGTATAACCGAGCGCCTTTAGGTAGGTGAGTCCATTAAAGCCAATCTGGTCAGCATCCAATGCCGAACACTTACAGAGATATTGATTCGGGGGATATATTTACCACCACGACTGGGATGCCTTACATGAACAAATGTCATCAGCCCCATCAATGAATAACTTCCACGTAGAGCTGAACATTTACTGGAAAACAGGCTGCAAGGATCAAAACAGTTCCAGTGACTTACTATTCTTGATACTGGCGACCGAAACTTGAACGCGGATGTTTTGTACGTGGTGTTTACAGCGATTTTCCGTTCTATTGTTAAACCTAGGGCTACCTAGTTTCATTCACAAAGTCTTTCAGTTATGTTACGTGCAGTGTCTGTGGACTTCCCTGTCACATGGAGGTCACTAAAAGATGTAGTGTATAAACTCCTTCGGTGCGACTTTGTGGACAGGGATTTGTGGAATTCTAGTTTCGGCTATGTATATAGCTTATGTACTTCAAGTCCGGTTTCGCATGCATCCACTTTGTATAAATCTACTACAACACTCATTAGTGAGAGGGTAGAAGAAATAGCATCAGATTTGGAAGTGATGAGTGACTCCGATTTACTTCCTAGATATGTCAAGTTTTGGGAGTCATATCATCGTGGACTTACATATCTAGATATCCTTTATAGGTAAATTTTTTAGGTCCTTAATATTTAATGCATACTCAGATACATGAACACGCAGCACGTAAAGAATTTAAGGCCATCAGAAGCTGATATGTGCTATGGAGCGGCTCTTCCTATGGCAGATCAACACACTATGGAAATTCTGGAGGTTGGCCTTGCTTTCTGGAGACTGTATCTAATCGACTGTATAAAAAGTCGATTGTCCTCTTGCTTAATGCGCGAAGTTCTCAAGTGAGTCCCATATTTTTTATTTCTAAGCTTCAAATAGCGATAGATTGGGAATTTGTGGACAACAGAATTGCATACAACCATGTCTGGCTTCCTTTTTAAGAGTTGGAGAAGTAAGGGATTTTGAAAGAGTAAGCAAAATACGACATAAAAGATTTGCATTGTGTCTGTTTTTGATCTTTGTATTTTAAAGAACACGTTTAACATTTTTGCAGCCACTCCTTTTTCATTGGCATGTCTCTCAACTAGGAAATACGAAGTGTTTTGATCAATGAATACACTCCATAGTAGATAAATTCGTGTTAATACACACATTAGCACCCCATATCCATTGCTTTTGTGTCTAGTTTGTTAACTGTTACTATTCGTACTGATCCCTGTTTACTACCATTTTTATTAAACTATTTTCTTCATTCTCTTGGTCCAATGCACTAGTGGAGCTAATACTTTTGTTCTCCCATTACATAAAAGGCTGGAATGGAAATATACAATCAAATATTTCAGAATCCTCTAATTGACGCTACGCGGTCATTTTACTCGCAGTGGGCCTGTCAACGAGAGTCGGAATTAGGGTGTGCTCAATATGTGACCGAGGTATGTTACAATTTAGAATTTTCTTGTTCTTGTATTTCACAGTTAAAAGTCTTGCAGTCAAAGTCAAAAATTATTTGTTTACTTGCCGTACAGTCTTATGTCGACGTATGTATTTTATCCGCATATATGATAACACGACTTAACTACTTACAATAATTAAGGCCATTTGCTTTTCATATTTTGTGTCCATACCTTTTGGTTACTAAACTCATAAGTAATCACTGAATAAGCCTTTAGCTCACTGAAGTGTATAGTTACCTCAAAGGATTTGTTCTTCGTTGAACCAGTCTAACGAATCACACGATTTGAATTACATTTCTAGTGTATCATTTTTATTTTATTTATTTAAACACATAAATATTGGTACAAGGAAACACCAAATACATATGCGCCATACAAATCTCTTTCGATTTGCTTGAGGGCAGTGATACTGCCCAGGTGCCCAAACTGAAGCAGGTGGTTTTCTTAGGGGCCCACACCCGGAGCCTTTGACCGAAAGATCTGATCCACAAGGCAGTGGAGCACCGTGAGGAGATGCAATCCCATGGTAGCCAGTGATCAACGGTTGGTTCTTACGCCATTTCTTCCTTCAGGATACTGGAGCCAGCCCATGTGCACCATTGGTTTGGAATCAGCGTTTTCCAACTCCCCTAGGTGAACTCGCCTTGTCCACCAACCCGGTTAAAGCGCCGGACATTCGCTTTTCGTCCTCTCACTTTTGTGAACAACACCCCCGCCACGAGAAGACAGTGAGTAGGACTTCCCTGGCAGAGGCTATATATTCGCTGGCCATGTGAGAGCATTTCGAGAGGGAGAGAGGACTCTTTCCACTCTCAGCCGTACCAGGGCATTTGGGCATAGCTGCCTGATTCTAATTGCATACAGCGAAAGTCTAATTCATAGAACTGGTCGAAAGTCATGCTTTAACTTGTAAGCCTAAAATTGTGGGACACATGTATATTTGTATGTATGGTAACATAGTCTGTCATAATTTCTCCTATAACATGATAAGCTCATTAGGACATACCTATCTTCAGATAGTTTATTATCCCTCGAGAAAATTCTGAATATTAATTATCACATTTCACACTTTAGTCGAACAATGTGAGGCTCAGTAATTTATTCTTTTACATAATGAAAATTACACCATCTTGCGTCTACATTGCAGTTGAGTGTTTCGTTTGGTTTCGACAAATAAAATTAGTGTCTCAGATTCCTCTGTTTTGTATGTAAAATTGTTCGAGAATTCAGTTTTTTGTCCCTCATTAAAATAATATTTAGTAAAATGCTAATAATAAGCAAGATATGTAAGTCTCGTATTTTGTAAACATTTTTTAGGCACTAGCTTTGCGGACAGAAGAACATAATCGGGCTATGCAATATTATAAATGTTCACTACTTCCAATGCAAAATTTGTTCCAAGAAATAATTGTTGAACAGCGTTTAAATTTTCTTAATATGAACGTTCGCTATGTTATTGCTGAAGAGGATAAATCAAGTAAGTGAAACATTTATATCCAATTATCCCACTAATAAAACAAAACAAATAAGTTGATTTGTGTTTTGTATACTTTGTTGTGGTTTTAATCGGTCTCTGTTATGTAGATGATGTATGTATTTAGTTGTGTTGGAAAGTAAATATCGCGTTGCCCTTATTGCGCATCACGTGCACTTTCTATGTTTTCCAAGGTTTGCTTAGCCTAACTTTTTTGTGTTGTACTCGCACAATGGCGTCAGTTTGACTTGTCACATAAAAATTTATGTTAATCAATAACTTCCCATTCACTAAACATACAGTTTTATACCCCAGGGCATGAGGTCCACCCGTTATATAAGGATTAAATATACTACTCGGTTGTGTGAAACAGGTTACGTTAAGTAGTTTTTAAGTAAATGTTCTTAAAACACTAACATACAACTTTCTAATCTGATTTTTGCATGCTATCTCCTTGATATGTTCTCATATATATCTCAATCTCAGGTAACATCTACTCATGTGACGGGTTATTTTTATTCGATATGATTTTTTGAAATGCATCAGTCTTTATTAATTTGTCCTTGTACATAGTTGTTCGCCATATTTAGTTTGTAAAGGATGACGTTACTGCAACCTATTTGATGCGTATTTCGATGATGGAAAGTAGTAATGCATAGTAGGTATTGTAGTTACCAGTAATCATAACGAAGGAGTTATTTAAGGGTAATAAAATCGATAATTAATTGCGTGATCATTCAACATGGTAAGAAGCAAATTAAACTAATATCTAAACATCAATAAGTTCATGTAAGGTAAAAATTCTAAGAAAAAAGAGGGTTGAAAAATTAATGAAGGCTATCTTATTAACATTGAGTCATCATCCCAGAGAAAAAGCTAATCACACTCTCCTTCTGTACACACAGGTCAGGTTGGAAACATCCAATAGCGATTGCTTCTACAGAGTGGAATAAGATTGATGCTGGTTCTATTAAGTATTTTAAATTCATTTTCTCTATCCACTTCTGCTATCTAAAAGATGGTTGACAATCGCACTTATGAGGACTTACTGTCCTTCAGGCATAAGTTCGTAAGAACGTGTTCATAAAACACTAGAAGCCCTTTTCTCTGTCCTTCCTATATACTTGCTATCTCAGGCACATGTAAATTCAGAGATCCGATTGGCGGTGACATTGGAAGGGTATTGATCTACCTTTGAATGGTATAACAAACACTTGGTGTTGTATAGTGAAACCAACTGAGCAACAGGATAGCTTATTTTCAGTACCATCTTGATTCTTTCATCGATTTTTTCCTTTTTTCACTTATCCCTAACAAAATAATTTAAAAACAGACTATTTGTTTACGTATCGTAACGTCCCTTCACTACCCGACCGTAGCTGCTACCTTGACGTGGTGGTCGGGCTTGCATATCGTGATGATCCAACTGAGCTATATTGGCTGGAACATATGTTCCTATATGTTCTACCATGCCAGGCAGGTCGATTGGAGAACGGTAAGACTAAAAGCAGCAACTCAAGGTCTGAGGGCGGAGTTGTACTACTGACTGTAGACGGGTGTGACAATACTAAGGTGTTCCCCTAGGACAACCAGCATAGCAGCGATGCTGCCTTCTCACAAGGAAGAAAGTGGTTAGAGAAGGTAGACCTTAAAAATGTCCCACCTCACGTTTTTCCGTCTCCGGCGGTAAGGCCCTTTGAAGAACGGAGCTAACACGTCAAAAACCTCCCACAAATGGGCCGTGCGCAACCAGCCTCAAACAGTTGTCCCTTGAGCTCTGCGGTCACGCTCCCAAGTCATTAAGACCAACAATAATCCAACTTCCATTTCAGATTCCTCAAGAAATGCCCTTCCACGGTGTGGGCAGTTGGGAAGTGATATCAGCCCTCATACCAGTAACAACACACGAGACCAAGTTGATCGTATTCAAATCCTTCCTGCATCTCCTAATGACTCTCTTATCTACAAGACTAACCCTTCTCATGTCCCCTTATCACCTCACACCGCTAGAGAAAACGATCCGAGTACGCAGAACGTTATTGCTGATCTCCTGAAACCACGCTCTAAAATACATGTGGGAGGTTTTAACGTCCGAACACTGTGCCAAATAGGACAACAGGCTGCCTTAGCTAGGATTTTGGAATCTCGCACCATCGATTTATGTCGCGTCTCCGAAACACACATATAGGATCCGAGTAGCGTCATTCATTTGACCTCATCATATCGAAATAAAGAACTATCTCGATACACGCTTCGTGTATCTGGAAGCCCTGGTGTTGTTTCCCGTCGCCTCGCTGGAGTAGGTATAGCATTGAGTCCTCGGGCAGAACTAGCTCTTTTAGACTGGATCCCAGTAGACAGTCGTCTGGGCGCTGTCCGACTAAACGGAACAATAAGTACTCGGAAAGATAGGGACACTCGTCGTTGCCTCTTCGTCGTCTCTGCCTACTCTCCCACTAACCGCAGCTCAGATAATGTAAAAGATTAGTTTTACAGAAAGCTTTCCAACCTTCTTCAAAAAGCTAGGCGCTCCGATGTAGTGATAGTGGCAGGTGACTCTAATACCCAAGTGGGTAAACTAAGCAAAGGAAAAGACACATGAGTGGATCTTATGGTGTCGTGGCTCAAAGAACAGATAATGGCGACCGTCTGTTACAACTATGCTCAGATAACCGCCTATTTCTAGCAAATACTAACTTTAAGCACAAGAAGAAATATCTTTTGATATGGCGACCTCCGAATTCTTCCCAACGTAGGACCCGAATAGATCACATCGCTATCAGCCACCGATGGAGGGGCTCGATAGAAGGCTGTCGCTCATTCTGGAGCACATGCTTAGATTCAGACCATGTTCTAGTGTGAGCGCGTATCCGTCCGCATCTTACTGGACGTAGGAAAGACGCTGCAAGGAAGCCTCTTAGGGTTCTACTTAATAATAGGCAAGCTAAGAATATATATCAGGAACAACTAGAAAAACAGTTAGGCAGCCACGTAAGTTGTGCCCACCCCGAGGCAGCGTGGAATGACATCCGAAAAGCTGTGGGAACGGCAGTAATATCTGCTAGTACGGTAAACCATAAGGTTAGGGAGAAACACTGGATCTCGGCAGCATCTATCGCACTGATGGATCCTCGAAAAACTCATTCCATCTGGCTCTGAACATAACGAAGAGCGGAGTCAGCTTAAGCACAGGCTAATAAGAAGCCTACACAATGATCGCGGACAGTGGTGGATAGCAAAAGCAAGAGAGATGGAAAAGGCACCGGCAATCTGTGACAGTAGACAACTGTTCAGACTTGTTAAGGAAACCGGTATTAGGAACCCAACTGTCTCGGAAAAAGATGAATATATTATTCATTCTCAATCCAGAAGATTGAATTGATAGGTAGAACACTTTAGGGATCAGTTCAACTGGCCTTCAGACACATTCCGGTTTCCCACGACCCCCAGTCGACCTGAATGGCAAGTTGATGTAAGTCCTCCAACTCTTTATGAAGTTGAAAAGGCCATGGGAAATCTGAAGCATGGGAGAGCAGCAGGCCCTGACAAGTTTACCCCTGAGATTTTTAAGGATGGCGGTCCATTATTATCAGCGAGATTGACTGAGGTTTTAGGTAGAATCAGGGAAGTGGACGTAATTCCATCTGACTGGTCCCAATCACTGATTGTGCCAGTCTATAAGGAAGGACAAAAGTCCTCCTGTGACAATCACAGAGGGATCAGTTTGATTAATATAGTGTCTAAAATATTAGCTTCAATAATACTAGGACGCCTAACCAAAGCTCGTGAAGAGCAGACTAGAGAAAACCAGGCTGGTTTTCGACCTGGACGTGGTTGCATAGACCAGATATTCACTCTACGTCAGGTCCTAGAACATAGACATACATTCAGACGTCCCACAATAGTAGTATTTTTCGACCTTAAGGCGGCATTTGACTCTGTTGATTGTGAGGTTCTTTGGCGGTGTTTGTCACTGAAAGGAGTAACAAAGAAGTACATTAACCTTATACAGGCTCTCTACTCGAACACAACTGGTCGAGTTAGAGCTTATGGCGAACTGTCATCAGAATTGATTACCTCAAATGGTGTTCGTCAGGGCTGTCCACTCTCTCCATTCTTGTTTAACTTTATCGTAAACGTGCTTTTAGAAATAATACTTTCCTCATCTAAATTTAGAGGGGTTGCACTTTTACCAGGAGATTCACTTGTTGACTTAAAATATGCCGATGACATAGTTTTATTTGAAGACGCTGACAAAATGCAGTCTCCTGACCACTATAAACAACAATGCAGGCATGTTCGGGATGCGATTTTCCCCCTCGAAGTGCAAAATGTTACTTCATAATTGGGTTGCATCGGCACCTGAACTAATGATAGGGAGTGAAGTATTTGAGCGTGTTGACTGCTTCACTTATCTTGCGAGTCTCATCAGCCCTTGTGGTATGGTGTGTGACGAAATCTCAGCACGGATACAGAAGGCTCGTCTAGCAACCAAAGGACGAGTTTACTGCGCAACAGTTCGTTCCGTCCTACTTTATGACAGCGAAACATGGCCGGTAACAGTAGAGGATATTCGTAGGCTACTAGTATTCGATCATAGGTGTCTTCGAAGCATTGCTCGTATATCCTAGGACCACTAAGTAAGTAATGCAGTTGTTACGAAACAGATACTAGGTAAGGATGGCAAGTCGGTCGATGAAGTAGTGAAACTTTATCAGTTGAGATGGCTGGGACACGTGTTACGTATGCCCAACCACCGACTGCCCCGACGTGCGATGTTTTATGGTGTAGGAGTAGGTTGGAAGAAAGCTAGGGACGGTCAGACCAAAACGTGGCACAAACCCATGAAGTCACTGACAGGTGGACTGAGTTATGTTGATAGGTGTAGACTACGTGGGTGGGATCCACAAAATGATAGCAACCGATGGCTAGAGACCTTAAACGACATGGCTCAAAATTGTTTGCAATGGCGAAGGTGCATCCACTCTTTGTGTTCTCCCAAATTCTAATCTTCTGAATTCTTCATGTCCCTATCTGTTATCTCTTTTGAAATTCATTCCACCATATTATACTTCTTGAATAACATCTTCAAACCTTTATCTTTTCGATTACGGCTTATATCTCTTACTACTTCTACCACTATGGGATTTGAATCGACAGCTGCATCTCTGTGCTAATATGGTATGACAACTCGAACTGATGTACGTATGTACGAAGTTCTACGTTGTGACTGACTGACTGTTCCTTTACTAGAATTTTTCTAAGAGGTCAGCATTGTTTGACCGAGATTTTCACTTTAGGTTTTTCTCATAATTATATTAGCGTGAAAGCTTTGCATTCATTATCTACATAAACTTCAAAAGCTGAAGTTATATTTCATTAGTTTTAAATTATTCTGTATATATATTTATTTCCTTTCGATCGATTCACTTTTTCGAATACATCTACAGATTTAAGAAATCTTTTTCGGTTGCTATCTCCGAATAATCTTTGTAACGAACTATTACATTGTTTTGGTGAACATGTCCGAACCAGTATTTTAGAAGCTATTTCCAACCTTCCAAAAGACTCTTCAGTAAGTTAAAAAAAAGATTTCCATCGACTATTATAACTAGGGGTATACTTAAGTCTGTTATCCCTCTTGGCGCTAACAGACAGACACCATCAACATATAGCTTTTCACATATATGTGTTGCCTCAAGTTGCCTTACCTCATTAGCACGATAATATTAACATAGCGAGATGAGTGTCAAAATAAATCAATTTACTGTTGTAATAATGATGATGAGAAAGACTGAACTTTTGAAAAATTGGATGGAATGACAGGGTGGAAAGGTATTCATGAAAGGATACTGCAATTCGAGATTGACGGGAAAATAAGGAAGAAATGCATCTGCATCATTGTGAAAGATTCCAAGTCATATAATCCAGCGTTTCTCGTCACTGATTTCGGCTATCATGCTTACCCCAACCAGGTAGCTTTTATCTGCTAACATGCTTCAGACCAGCAGTTGATCAGTCCATGAATTAATGCCACGTTCTGATATGACCTCTTCTAGCTGTCTTCCAACCTGCTACTAAACTAGCAATCATCTCTCGTCGGGTAGGAAATGGCTAGATACACGTGACATCCTAACCATCCCAGTCGATAAAGATTCACTACTTCATCAGCCGGTTCACTATCTTTGCCATGCATACTATGGCTAACTTCACCATTGCTCATTAGGTCGTGCCATGAAACTCGAGCAATGCTTTGAAGACACTTGTGATCAAAAACCTGCAACCTATGCATGTCCTCTACTTTCATAGACCATGTTTCACAGTCATCGATTGGGACAGGGCGGACTGTTGCTCAGTTTACATGCTCTTTGGTTGAAAGACAGACAATCCGCCTGCGTAACATACTATCTCAAGTTAACGAACGCCAACTAGGCTTTCTGGATCTGTACCGAGATTTTGTCAGACACCAACCCACCAGGGTTAGCTTACGAAATTATTTGACTCTCTACAACTAGCCTTGACAAAGACCAGTCCTGAAACAATATTGGCACATGCCACTGAGCAGAGGTCTCCAATTAAATATGTATTGGGCTTTTCTTTCCAGTCGTTGGCAAGTGCTATTCATCGTCTTAATGTGTCTCCCGTTCCCGACACCACCTGTCTTTTAATCTGGTTATTTTGCCTTTGATTGACCACTCTGGGTTGTGGCTTGCTTTTTAGTACAGTTTAATCAATGGTTCCCGCAAAGTGCACCCTATCCATTTCTAGAGCTTTTTCTTAGTTTCCTCATCTGATAATTCTCTGTCAGAATAGGTCATTGCCAATTGTTTCTTACTAGTGGGTCTGGAGTATCTTGTGTAGACAGCTGTTTATAAACACCTGCACATTTTGGTGATGGTTGTAGTAGTTTAGTTCCGTTCTATGGAACTGTTTTAATGTTTGCGCTAAAGATTCTAACTTTGGTGTTTTGGCGAAAGTCCTTTTGAATTCCAGATTTTACTAAATTATACTAACGTCGTCTTTGTTTCCCCCATTCGTGCGTTCACATGCTCAACAAGACCTTTTTTATTAATAGTGCTTCTCAAGTATGTAAAGGCTTTTACCTCTTTCAGAGCGTCCACGGTGTTTACTGTATTCGATGCTTTTCCTGAGATATAATAGTCTTCATAATCCATCCAACAGCTAGCAGAAAGAGAAAAGGGTCGATTAAGGAGCTTTGTCTGACATCAATCTTCACTTGGAATGCGTCTGTGTGCAGCTTTTAATGTACGCAATTCAGTCCCCTGTAGGAGCTCAGTATAATGATGAAGATCTTTTGAAGTACTCCATAGTGTCGAAAATTTCATAACGTTTTCCTATTCATGCTGCTTATTACTTCCTTATGATAGGAAAAATTGTTATGCAATGATGAGTTCCAAATTGGTTGGTACGTTATCCATTCTTATAAAAGCCGCCTCGTTGATCTCGGCGTAAAGCGTCCACGGAATCCTTCGCTTCTTACACAAAAATTATTCTGAGAACTTTCCACATACTGACAGTACTGTAATCTCTGTATAACCCTCACACTAAAATAACGTTCAAATCCCCAACAGATTTTGTCAAACACAGCTCGAATCAAACGAGCAACAGACACATCATAAGGGACAAGTTAGTGAACTGAGTCGAACTAAAGTCTGATTCTTCTTGAACACTAATGGGTTGCTAGTTTGTAAAGGACTAACAATAAATGGCTTTATTGTGTATACAATTGACTCTCTTTACACTAGGTATTCAGTCAGGAACTAGTCGATCACAGATCAAGGACACGTCATTCACCTGACTAGCACGTATATCAATCAACCACTAAGTAAACACAAAGGGTAGGAAAACATTCATGCTACTTCAGATACCTGTCTGATTGTTTATTAGTCAGTTGGTTTGTAAATAACAATCAGTCACTGTCTACTTTCACCTACGCAACACCTCTCTCATGAAGTTTGCTGATAAAACTTCGTCGTTGAGTTCATTTGGGGAAATCATGTTTGTTTTCGTCCCCTCACTGGCCTTCGACTGACTGCCAATCTAATTAGTTTCATGTTGTCAGTTTTTTTAAACTTCGTATTGACAGTTACTTTTCTGTTTTGCTTTGAAACAAAGTTAACACAGGTTCATTTTATTGAGAGTCTCTTAAATCTCCGAAGTAGATTTTTGGAGTATATTGATGATGTTTTCGATGGGAAGACTGCTTTCCGTAATCAAATGGATAAAGCCTTTAATTTGGCCGTGAATGGTCGTGTACCGTCTTCAAGTATTCTAGCTACAACATCTAAGTGAGTATTTATATAGTAATGTATTACATCTTTCCATCATTTGCTTTTTTAACCACACAGAAATAGCTTTCATTATCGGAGATTTCTTTAAATTCAAGTCCTTTTTTCAAACAACCACTATTCGTAAAGATGTAATTTATCACTAATATCTACATGTGACCAGAACGTCTATTTTATCAAAATCTTAGGACATTTAGCAAAGTTTTTGAAAGTGAATGGTACATTTATCTCCTTGTTGACATTAGCTTTATTCTGTGGCAAACAGCCTGACCGTCGCTGCTACCTTGACGTGGTGTTCGGGCTCGCCTATCGTGATGAACCAATGTAATGTACAACTATATTACTCGTTGGGTGACATCTAAATTTCAAAAACTGAAAATTCCCACAGTTTTTCATAATAATAAATACATAAGCCTAGCCCAATAAAATGTGTTTGTTCATAGAAATGGTCGACAACTGTGGAAATGGTCTTCTTTGTTTTGATTTCTACTATTTACTTTCCATAGTACAGATAATACCTTCTAAAGTTAGTTTTTTAAATGTCATTTTCAGTAAGTTATTAACAGTATATTTTAGATAATTCATCCCTAACAAAATAGATCTAGCGTTTTAAAGATCCATTAATAACGTGTGGTGTAAAAAATTACTACTATTTACAATTAGTAAGTCCACAAAAATTGGTATCGAACTTAAATGCTTTGACCTGCTGTTATGAATTCTCTTATTAAAACTCAGCTACTCTTACTGTTATCTTAGACATTACTTCACTCGACAAGTCCTCAAATCAGAACACGGTTGAACAGGAACCTAATTATATTTCAGATAACAAGGGTGGATGGAAGTAGGGATCACGACAAGAAAAACGTTAGTATAATTATCGTTTTTATGTAAGAAGATTCTAGATTCTGCCAGCGCTGGTTGGTTAAGAAATAGCCAATCAGCGTGCCACAACGCAGTCCTACACAGAACATGCTTTAATCTAATCTGTATCCCTCTAATACCTGCTAAGCAGTAATCATGGACCCAGACTTAAATAATATAAATTATTATTCAGTAATATATAGGGAAGCGATAAGGAGAATGGGAAACGTTTTTCCTACCATTAAAGCTGAATCATTCTACAACAAATATTACTAAACTGAGATGGACTGTACCTAACAGTGAAATCCAAGATGCGCCACCATCCATCCCTACTTATAGTGCTTGTCACTTAAGGCAATATCGAGACAGTCCGCACGCGATGCACATATACCAATATGAGACCAATCAATTGCAGTCCTAAGCGTCAATAGGAAAATGCAAACACCTAATAGAAAATGAATTAAGTGTTACTAAAGCCTCTGAAAAACGATCGAAAATGTAATAAATTATACTGACTAATCAAAATATACCCTATGTTTCAATCGTTCTAAAAGTTAAATAGTCGATAGAGGTTATGTACATTTCTTAAAAAGTATGTTGACTGTTGCTCAGTATGTAGCTTATACGTATTGAATTCTTTCATTAAAGTTACAGGGATCCATGTGTTCTCAAAAGGTACAATATGTCTAACAGTCATATAATATTTATTTATTCAATAAATCATATGAATTTTTGATTACTACTTGTTTCAAATGGTTTGAAAATTTTACCAATTATTGGATACATTTGTAGGCAGACTAATTACAGACCATCTGAACTGTTATGTCGATACATGGATTCCTTATTACGTAAATCCGTCAAAACTATGACTATTTCAGAAATTGAAACTAAGCTGACAGCGTCAATCGCTATTTTCAAGTATATTGATGATAAAGATCTTTTCCAAAAGGTGAGTTATCTATTCTCCCTAATATTTTAAACTGTTTAAATTTCACTCAACGGCTACTAAAATGCAGAAAGTCCGGGTCAAAACTTGTTTCAAACTCCTTATCTGTCGATTTTCCCATCTGTAATTTTCATTCCTATAAAAATCTACAGTATCGTTATCTCCAATTTATGCCTTCTGTTAATTTCTAGTACTTCGCGATGAATATTTATTCGTGATCTTAGTTTGATTTTATATCACATCTTACGGTCTAATGCATTTTCCTCTTATCTTACAGATGTACGCTAAAAATAGGCGATCCGATGAAACGTCCTTACAGAAATCGAACAAAAAGAACTAAACTAAGGCAAGATTTGTTTGAGCATTCCGAGTTGCATTCCCATAACACTGATATACACATATTGGCTAACTTGGGAATTGTTGAGTTCCAAAATATCCTCCGTCAAAGCTTCTCAAAAACATCTGAGAAATTAAGGGTCACGTTTTTGGTTCAATAATTACCCATCTCGTTACCAAATCTAGTATGCTTGCAGGAGGTTTTAGAAGCATGAGGTCATATACAAAATCATAAATACCCTCGATTTTCTGTGACCAACTAAACTTGGAGTAAAGCTCTTACTCAAATGTGCCTTTTCTCCATTATTTATGTTAACGTCTAGAAATAGTTTGGGATTTTAGGAAGTGGCCAGAAAGGTAGTTGTGCTGTTAAGTGTAGTAACGTCGACTGTAATACATTTCTTGAGAAAATAACTTATTATTTATCATAGTTGTTGATAATCCCCGAAATTGTAGCGTTCTGTAGAATCGCTAAATTACTCATTTATACAGTGACTGTAGAGACTAATTTTAAACTTTCATAATATTGATAACTTATGTTCATAATTATGATTGTTTTTCTTAGTATTATCAACGTATGCTGTGCAAAAGACTGGTGTTCAATTATTCTTCTATACTTGAACTCGAAGAATCTGTGATTAATCAGCTAAAAACTGTGTGTGGATATGAATTTACTTCAAAGTTTCAGCGTATGTTTAATGATGTTCAACTTAGTCCTGAGTTAAATCGGAAGTTTACTGAATACTTACAATCAAAAGATATACGTTTTACATTTGGTCATCATTTTCATGTTTTGACGGTAAGTAAACTAAATTTCATGTTAATAGTTTTAATTTTAAATAATATATCATACAATATCGTTTCTTTTTAAAAAAGATATATTGATAGAGTAACGCAACTGACTAAGGTTTAGAAGTATACGGGTTTATCTTGAGCCAACAAAGAGGGAAATACAAAGTCTTGAGTTAATAGTGGAGATATTCAAGGAACTGACAAATTTTCCGTTATTGTAAAATCAATATGTACGAGTTTTGTTAAAAATTCCATTGGAATCATGAACCAATCATTGCTTTGTTAAAAAGATAAATCTTTAACCATCCAATATCCATGTTTAGAATAATCTAAACACTCTGACTAACTCATATGCAAACGACGCTTCGCAACAAATCCAAAAGTTGCTAAAAACGTATTTGATCTCCGTATAAAATCGATTGTTTTTACGTCCAAAACTATTACAGGATACATTTTGTTTCCAAGTCATTCTTGTTATCAGTCGCGTTGAGTGTAATGCATTGTTCAGAGAGTACTAGACAGGGAGGAACACATGATGACGCAATTATCTGAACTAGTATACTCAGATACGTCCTCATCCACTTATGTTCTAGTCAATAGCAAATCTGATATTTAAAATATAACTAACCTACTTACTCCTGACAATTAGTTCAATTATTCCGCACAATAGCACAAGAAACTGGTTGCTTAATATTTCATGTGTTCAAACGATAATCGGACCAGATCATACAATCAACGTATATGATCATGTACAGCTAGTTATTTATCTACCTTTGTAATTTTACTACTAAGTAAAAAAAATTTATTCAGTCACTCCAATGCCTTCCAAGTTGTTTCAATTAAGAAATATTTCATCTCTCAAAATCTTCCACAAAAACATCCAACTCCATGATATGTTTTTAATGACTCCGATAACCAAAGTTTTATTGAATAACATGATACAAAATGGCAACACAATTCTCATTGTAACACATTATTGAAAACAGTACTCAGTGAACTTTTCCGTGATGTTTTATCTTGATGATTGGGGAAAGAGAATTATCGGTTATGATAAGGCGAATCCGGGGTTAGGGAGAAGGTTTGAGTCTGTTCAGTAACTAGCGATTGCAATAACTTTATTATATTCCAATCATATTAGAGTTTTTGAATATGAAGTGTACACAAATGTTTCATTTATAAAATCTCAATTATTAATATTAGATTTTTAATTAAAATTTTCACCATCGTGGGAAGTCAGGGACTGGATAAAATATTTTCGTAACTAATATACATTCAACTGACTGAACACAACTTATAGTCAGTTAGTTGTAAATTGACTAAACTTCATATTAAATCACTTGGGCTGTGACTAATCTCCTACAGGACTGAGATATTCCATTTAGCGTAAACTTGTTTTAACACATCCTAATGATCAGATTTATTTTTTCATATGAAATAAACCAATATTTTCACCGTATGTATGAATATACTTGATATAATCCCAAATTTACATTTTTCCTAATCAGTTTTGGTGTGAGCAGCTTGACTGTTGTCTAGAGACTTGTAAGTACAAGACAAAGAGTACAAGCAAATAAAATATTCTTCAACTTCTGCTATACTAGGTTAGTCCTATTAGATCTTTTTTCACTTCCTTTTTCAGCAATGCTCATGGCCAATTTCACTTAGTGGTGTTACTGATTTTTTACTCCCACTCGAATTGTATACATGTACTTACCATTTTGAAGAATTCTATACAGCTGCTCATCAAGGAAGAAAAATGAGATGGGCACATAGTTATTCAACAGTAGAAATTCAAGTGCTTTTCACTGATAAAGCTTATCAAATACAAGCGCCTGCTATTAATGCTGCTGTCCTACTATTTTTTGATCATATGGACTCAGATCGTATCAAAGTGAAAGATCTACATTTCGGATTACAGCTAGCTGTATCTGAAGGTCGATCAACTATATGTAATGAGAATAGGTCTACATCTAAACAAAGTGTTCCAGTCACTGACTCTTCAATTACTAGTAAAATGGAAACTTGTTCACAAGACGTGTTGGATTCTTCATGTGAACTGGATCTTATTCAACGACTTTTGACACCACTAATCGAGTTGAACATAATATATGTTGAAGCAACTGAAGGGCAAAGTAATAATTCATTGGGTAACATCGTGACAGTAAGTTAGTGATAGCCTAATACATCTAACCATTTATATACTTGCGTAGATGGATAGCGTTATAGCCCTAAATCGTTCGTTTACAAGCAAACGTCTAAAGCTAAGGGTGAATTTCGGCTCACAAGGAAAAGAATCAAACCAGGTCAGTTACTTACGAATGTGTATGGTTTCACCTAAATTTACATAATTATTAACCTGACTATAATTAAAGTGGTGAAGTAAAAGATAGGTGACCCAGGCGTTTTGCATGTTGATAGGAAAATTGTCTTTGCATTAAACTAAGTTCTGTTACAAAATCCCTGAAATAATATATCTATGATGATGAGTAAACCAAACGAAGACCAGCTTTTGATCATGTAACCGTAACAGGAAACAGATTAGCGGTTTGACTTTTGAGAATATTATAATGTCTAAACGGATATTAACAAATAATTTAGGAATTTATATATCCATTAATAACCAGCGCCATATTTGTGAAATCTCTTCGTATCAATCACATATGATACTAAGACTAGTATTTCCTTTACAAAAAGGTATAGAACGATCACTTTGTGTTAACAACACTTCCCATACCGTTTACATCACAAACTGATCCTAGGAAACCACTAAAAATTTGTTTCGTTCTAGTATGGGACTCGTAGGCAACGCACACTCACAACTCCGCTGCAAGTCGAACCCAGGATCTTCAGTTCTCGCAGCAAGAACTTAAGTTTTTGATCATTGAGCTGGCATCCAACAGCTCACATTGACTAACTTCAGTCATTTAAGACACTGGTTGCGACAATAGTGATGCACTTAGTTTCCTTTCATCCATTCCCATCAACCAGATGTCCAACTCATTTTACTTCTCCTATGAATTCCGTTTGCAGTTTCGAGACAAGTAACAAATCAATCTAGTGCATTGTTTTGGTAACTTTTACGTAGTTTGTTATAAGACACATTAAATTAAGCACAAGTTTGTAATACTAGTTAATTCAGAAAGTGTGAAGTTGACTGAGCCTCTTAAAACCATCGTTCCTAAGCAGATCTAAATTTGTTTTATTGCCTACTTTGCAGTCGGAAGCTGATCAGGTTGATCGTCAAGTGAACGAGGATCGGCGCTACTTCATACAAGCGGCTATTGTGCGGATTTTAAAAGCTCGAAGACAGATAAAACATGCACAGCTTATTGAAACTATTTTACAACAGGCATCTAACCGCTTCCAACCACCGATACCACTAATTAAGCGTTGTATTGAAGGTCTAATAGATACTGGCTATCTTGAACGAAATCCAGATGATCCTGATCAATACAGTTATCTTGCATAATTCCAACTGTTTTATTTTTAATAAATTAAAAAATTATTGGGTTGCTGTAAATATCAATAACATACTATAAGGGATTAAATTGCTCCTGTTTTGCCCAGTTGTTCTTTTAAAATCATAATGCTGCGTCGTTGATCCTCTGGCAAGAGAGCAAGTTGTTCATCTGATAGCTGAAGAACCTGCATAATAAGTGTGACTTTTTCTTGTTCACCTTGCCCTGCTAGTAAACTATTAGGACCCATACTGGCAGCTGCCGCTGCAGCAATTGCAGGGGTAATCTGTTAAAATTATTTTAAAAAATAAATAAAATTAACTAGAGTATATAACATGAGATTTTATGCATTTGTATATATATCAGATAAGAATTGCATTCTCAAGAGATTACTTAAAGTAGACGTTTGTTTGTTTATCTTATTGGTACTATTTAAAGGCGAACTAGTTTAATATTATAAAGGTTATTGAACATGTTAGGGAAAAAACTTTAGTTTTACTTATACCTAGTTTAAAAGTTCATATGTACATGTTTACCTGGAAGAACTTGAGATTCTTCTCACAATCAATTCAAATATACAGATAAGATACATTAATTATTTGTTAAACGGGAAACCACACTGAAGGGTAATCAACTAAAGTAGGATATGTTTATCACATCTCGCATTAGCACATTCTGAGAGAGGATAAAAAGCATTTATGCAGTTCAAAGGGAACATACAGAATCAAAAGATGAATGTAACGAATGATAACTAAATCAAAATTTAAAAGGAGATTGAAGAATGCATATGTGTTGCTGACATCAACTTTCGGTTAACTTATCCATTTCTAAGCAAAGAGTACGACTGTTGCGTTGCATCCAACTAAGTTCACAGCCAGTGACTTCATGGGTTGGTGTCATGTTTTGACCTGCTTACCCCTAGCTTTTTTCTAACCTGCTATCCTGAACACTATTGGACATCGAAGTAAGGAGTGTCTAGGTATATACAGTCCCCAAATGCCCTGGTACGGTCGAGAGTGGGGAGAGTCCGCTCTCCCTCTCGAAATGCTCTCACATGTCCACACGTATATAGCGTCTGCCAGGGAAGTCCTACTTGCTGCCTTCTCGTGGCATTACTGTTGTTTACAAAATTGAGAGGAAGAAAAGCGAATGTCCAGCACTTTATCCGGGTTGGTGGACACGGAGGATTCACCTAGAGAAATTGGAAAACCCTGATTCCAAACCAACGGTGTATATGGGCTCCAGAATCCTGAGGGAACAAATGGCGTATGAATCAATCGTTGGTTACCGGCTGCCATGGGACTGCTTCTCCTGACGTTGCTCAACTGCCTTGTGGATTGGACCTCTAGGTCAAATGCTCGGGGTATGCCCCCCCCTAAGAAAACCACCTGCTTCTGTTTGGGCACCCGGGCAGCATCACAGCCCTCACACAAATCAAATGAGATTTGTGTGACGCAAATATATCTGGCTCCCCTTTGTACCGATATCCATGTGTTTAAATAAATGAGGTATATACACTGCGTGTCCTACCAGCCTCGATCAGTGAGGAATTACAACATCAAAGGACACCTACTTGGTCATAATTGACGATCAAATGACATGGTTCTGAGTCAGTCATGGCTGCACTCCTGAGTTGTGTTATTCATAACTTTCACTCTGATCATGGACTACATTTCTCATGTTTACATTTACATTGGATTTAAAACTGGTTTTCTTTTGCTTATGCTTTTTAGTATTGGAAATTAAGTGAGGACGAACTACAAATCCTCTACAATAATTTGCGTACTTAATACATTATCAGCACTGGCCTGTAATATTTAGTTCAGAAATTCTTACCTGAGCGGCGGGTGGTCTTTGAGGTCGGACAGCCATATTTGGAGGTCCATTGGGATTGAAATGTGGTTGTTGTCCTGACATAGTAGGTGGCTGTGCTTGACCTGACGGATAGTCATAAGGCGGCTGGGATGGTGGAGCAACAGAATTAGGAGGAAACCCATTAGGTGGCATATTATTTGGATAAAACTTCTGTTGCACTAAAAATGTATGGGCCAAAAATAGGAAACAGGTAATAATATAAATGAACACCAAATAGATACATACTTGCAAAGAATGTCAAATAATCAATTGGTCCATGGCTTAACAACAGAAAGGTTCTCAAAGATAAGACTATTGCACAATAGCAACTAATTTATTTACAAAAGTTACCACGCATTTAGTAGATCTGGTGAATTTTTAACGTTCTATCCATTCAAGCCTATTTTATGCTAAACGACCGCGTAATTTCATTCTAAAGATCAGTAATTTTGCATCACATGGCCACAATGTTAGGAATTTTCTTCACGACGTGATAGACAACTGCTTTGGGTTTCGAATCTTTTGAAATACAACTGAATAATTTTGATATGCAATCATGAGGCAATAATGACAGAATATCAAGATAAAATCAACAGTTTACTCAGTGTATGGTTATTAATTGATTTCGAAAATCGTGTGAATACTATTAAACGTATGTGGACGTCCGAAATTAATTCCCGATAGGATATGAGAGCGCAATCCTAGAGTCTAAGGGACAACGACTTGAGACCGATCTCAAACAGATTTTGTGTTATCCCCACCTCTTTCGAGCCTTACCAACATAAATCGAGGGAGAGAGATAGTGTTGTGTTTAAGGCCGATGTCTTCTAACCCATCCAGATATTGGAAGACAGCATTTCTAGAGATGCTGGATGCCCATGGAAAACGCCATGTTGTTGACGCATCTTAGTACAGCTGACAATACGAATAAGCCATGAAACTTTAGATTCAATTTAGATACTATTCAACCGAACTGGTTGGTACGCTATGGCTTCAAGAGATGATCAGTCAGCGAACATAGTACGATTGAGTTGTCACGATAGATTGAATATCACCTCAAGATAACCATGGTTGACTACTGACTACAAATTTTGACACTAGTAGGATGGACGCTACTCACAAGATTGCCTATAGGTACTATGTGGAGGAACGTGGCCTCAAAGGTCGTCGAACGGGAAGTCTCGGCACACCAAATCACGGAGTAGACAGAACGCTTGAAGACTAGAAGAGAAAACAGTTAGGATTGCAGAATACACGACGAGATGAAAATGGATGATGGGAGGCTATATATGTGTGGTATAAATACTGTAATTCCTCACAATAAACGTTGGCTTCTTCTGCTCATTGCCTTGTTTTAGATTGGTTTTGGGATTGGCGATTTTGATTGGATTTTACATAATAAATAAAGGGTACAGTAACACAAAGACATGTCCAATACGTTGCACTTATTTCTGTTTTACTTACCTGCAGTCAAACGGTTAGGCATTGATGGCTTGTACGGAGATGAGATGTACTAATTTTAATTATGAACAGTAAGTGCATATTAGTTGAGTCTACGTGACTCAAAATTATCATCAATGTTACACCTAATTTCAAAGTGGAATTTTGAAAGGTAGATGGGTGGTTAGACTGGTGATTTACCTGTGACTTCTACAGACAACAAACCAGTCTTGTTCCAATGATAAGCGATTCAGAGGAGTAATAACCTCATAGGTATTGGAAGTTTAATAAATTAGGAAGCTAAGTAGAGATGCAGCGAAGAAATCTGTTGAGTGAAAAATTATGATAAAAAACTAACAAACAAAGTTGTGGTGTGAAATTTCTAGATCCTAATGTTTACTGTGACTATTTATCGTAAAATCCACCTTTTTACGACAACGGTTAGTTGACAAATCAAAACAGTTTTCTGTTTCGACTAGATAGAGAGTAACAATACAAACATTAGGATAATCAGCTGCTCGCTGTACTTAATTACTAAACTCCCCATTGCCAGGGTATATTTGAATGACAACTAGTAGTAAAACATCGAGACGGAATTGATGTGTCTAGCAATTTGACTGAAATATGTGTATGATCTTCATTTAAATTAAAATCATTCGTCACATTTCTTATAACCTGAGTCAACAGAGTACGTTTTTGCACTTTGTACACGAAAAACCATTAGGATCATAAGCGATTACTCAAGTGGCCCCACAAAATCTAAGTTATCAAAGATTTAGGTCGGATGAAGGTTAGAAGCAGCTAAACAAAGATATGACACCATCCCATGAGGTAGTCAGATATACGTAACATAGGACCTTGTACATATGTGGATCCATCCAAGATTTATCTTATTTATTTATTTAAACACATAAATATTGGTACAAGGAAGCATCAGATAAATATGCGCCTCACAAATCTCATTCGATTTGTGTGAGGGCTGTGATACTGCCCAGGTGCCCAGACTGAAGCAGGTGGTTTTCTTAGGGGGCCACACCCGGAGCTTTTGACCTAAAGGTCTAGTCCACAAGGCAGTGCAGGAGCATCGTAAGGAGATGCAGTCCCATGGTAGCCGGTGACCAACAGTTGGTTCATACGCCATTCGTTCCATCAGGATACTGGAGCCAGCCCATGTGCACCATTGGTTTGGAATCAGGGTTTTCCAACTCCCCTAGGTGGATCCTCCACATCCACCAACCCGGTTAAAGCGCCGGACATCCGCTTTTTGTCCTCTCACTTTTGTGAACAACACCCCCGACACGAGAAGGCATTGAGCAGGACTTCCCTGGCAGAGGCTATATATTCGCGTGGCCATATGGAGCATTTCGAGAGGGAGAGAAGACTCTCCACTCTCGGCCGTACCAGGGCAGTTGGGGGCCCATCCAAGATAACATATTACATTAACAAAAGGTGAAGTTACCAAGATGAATACCATAGTAAGATCAACGGCAGTAGAGGAGATTAGATATACAAATGATTAGACGGTGAATTCTCAGAATAAAAGGTATAAAATAGTTCAGAAACTCAAGATCTAAGGATATTTAGACAGTAAATGGGTTTGCATTACGGAGATCAACTTTAATTAATGTCACCCAACGTTCCCAACTATTCCTCACGATAATCGAGAAGACACGCCAACCAGATATTCCGCACTTACCAACATGGCTTAAGTCATGAAAACACCAACCGTTCGTTTGAGATGTGTTGGGAGATACAAATTCCCTGGCTAGATTGCAAGTGACAATCAAAAATAATGACTGGGGATCTTAAGTGAAGACCTTTAATAAATCGCAATGATGAAGATGTACTCGTCTTTTGTTTTCTCCTAGAAAAAGCTTCAATATTATTCCATACTTTATATCCCCTTATTTATTTCATTATTTTAGAACCATACTCTCGATATTTAATTTCTGTAACTATTATTAATATTACTATTACTGTGAATTCTTTTTTCCATTTTGTTAATTGCTTTTTTCGTTCTACTGGTGAAAAGTGTGGAACCTTAAGCCGATGTACATCTGCCCCAGGTCTTGTTTATAAATGACATATAAGTGATCGGTCTAATCTGATATTACGATCCGAATCCAAATAACGAGATCGTTTTGAGTCTTTACTTCTATCCGTTGAAAATGTAATTACTGCGGAAGAATTAACGAACACTTACTTCCTTGAGGAGCTTGACTTCTTTGTGGAACTTGTTCAACACTGAAATGGTTTGGATGTGGAACGGGTCCAGGTCCACCGTGATGTGGAAAGCCGGAGGGGGGCAAGTGAGACCCAGGTGAAGACATAGGCATCATATGATTTCCTGAAGCATTAGGACCCACAGGTGTTGTCTGATTGATATGACCAGGAAAAGCCATAACTGGTGCTCGCATAGACGTATCTTCATCCGGCATAGCAGGAGGGATTTGGTCATGACTGCGATTTAGCATAGCGATAGCCACTTTGGGATCGACAATCTTCATAACGATTTGAGCCTATGAAACAAATTAAAGAAACAAGTAAAAGAACGTATTTTAGTTTGACTATGTCGAAATGAAAACACTGGAAGATGGGACTCAGTTAATATCTGCATCTAGTTTGGTTCACTCTGTGATTTCACACTATTATTGTAAATTACAATTTTCCATATAATCATCTTTTTTGGAGGACTCTATTAAACAAATGATTTTAGAGAGAACGTTCGGGACACAATTAGTATCTCGTTACTTTACATAATATAACGATATGGCATATCGACTGTGTTACATAGTGAGAATACTACCCTGTTTACCGAGTTTATTGGTGACAGCTAGGTGCGAACACTGTGGGTGAGTTTGTAGCGACCTACTTTTATGACGAGAACGCGATTGGTATAATACAAACAATTATCATTATAACCAATTGTACCAGTGATTATTTTATTGTACTTGTTTTTTTAACTGTACCAAACGCACTTTTTCTTTCGTTGTCCGGTTCGCTTGCACGAACGCGCTTACGCTCCACCGTTTCGCCTGTAAACTTTGACACGTCTCGGTATTCTTTCGATACCACGAGATCGCCAACAAATACCTCTTATTTGAACCATTAACAGCCTTCTGGTTTTTCGCCTACCGATGAATCCGAGTCGATATCTGGCACGTAATCTTATTGTAGTGGTGATCATAGTCAGTCTGCCCCCAAATGCCCTGGTACGGCCGAGAGTGGGGAGAGTCACTTCTCCCTCTCGAAATGCTCTCATATGGCCAGCGATTATATAGCCTCTGCCAGGGAAGTCCTGCTCAATGCCTTCTCGTGTCGGGGGTGTTGTTCACAAAAGTGAGAGGACAAAAAGCGGATGTCCGGCGCTTTAACCGGGTTGGTGGATGTGGAGGATCCACCTAGGGGAGTTGGAAAACCCTGATTCCAAACCAATGGTGCACATGGGCTGGCTCCAGTATCCTGATGGAACGAATGGCGGACGAACCTGTCATTGGTCACCGGCTACCATGGGACTGCATCTCCTCACGATGCTCCTGCACTGCCTTGTGGATTAGACCTCTAGGTCAAAGGCTCGGGGTGTGGCCCCCTAAGAAAACCACCTGCTTCGGTTTGGGCACCCGGGCAGTATCACAGCCCTCACACAAATCGAATGAGATTTGTGAGGCGCATATTTATCTGGTGCTTCCTTGTACCAATATTTATGTGTTTAAATAAATAAACATAGTCAGTCGCGACTTGACGCGATCTACAAGTTAATAACATGTTAACTACTCATCCGAATCAACGATATATCAAAAAACACAAATACTAATTATAAGTGTTTTAGCTCAAAGAAATACAGTTAGTTTCTTTTTTACTATCACAACACTTTATGGCTTTATTTAGATCTGTGGGCGATAAATGGACAATAGTCAGCTAACAGTTAGCGGGACAATCTAACCACATCGTAGATGATAAATTTATAGGATATGATGTACTGGTATGTTGGTTGAAATTTTCACACGAAAAAAATCCATGGGGAATACTTATTCAAGCTAAAAGAATAAGTGAACAGGCAACAATCGATAGTTTAGACGGAATGGATATACCAGTTAAAATCTAATTGATTTTCAGTTATATCGCTTAGGGTTTTCACATTTCAATTGTCAATATCTCATAGACTCAACTAGAGTGGTTTGTGGTCGCAATGTTTAATTTAATTGTCAGGATTTATATATAGGTATATATTGTTTTGGTCTGATTTCGGAAGCTTCGTCCATTCTGTATTTACTCTAATTAACAAAACATTTCGACGTAACTAGTCCACTGAAGGTAATAAGCTCAGAGACGTTAGACGTCAGGAATGAACAAATGGTCAGATGTATGATAGGGATTGAAACGTATTGGTAATGAACACACTAGTAAAATAGAGGTAAGAAATTCTCAAGAATTCAACATTATTCTGTAAAATTGACCTGATAGCCTAGTTTGCATAGCTTATGTACAATTAACAACCGTTGCAGAACAATCAATGCAACAACTACTCTACTTATTTGACGAGAATATAATTGTCAGCTGAATGTTCCATTTCATTTATTTGCGAGAGGGCTGTGATACTGCCCGGGTGCCCAAACCGAAGCAGGTGGTTTTCTTAGGGGGCCACACCCCGAGCCTTTGACCTAGAGGTCTAATCCACAAGACAGTGCAGGAGCATCGTGAGGAGATGCAGTCCCATGGTAGCCGATGACCAATGACAGGTTCATTCGCCATTCGTTCCATCAGGATACTGGAGCCAGCCCATGTGCACCATTGGTTTGGAATCAGGGTTTTCCAACTCCCCTAGGTGAACTTTCCATGTCCACCAACCCGGTTAAAGGGCCGGACATCCGCTTTTTGTCCTCTCACTTTTGTGAACAACACCCCCGACACGAGAAGGCATTGAGCAGGACTTCCCTGGCAGAGGCTATATAATCGCTGGCCATATGAGAGCATTTCGAGAGGGAGAAGTGACTCTCCCCACTCTCGGCCGTACCAGGGCATTTGGGGGCCCTCACTCCACCTCAGGCAGAGTGAGGGCATACAAACACCTTTCTCCCTTGTTCCATTCGAGCAGTGGGGTTAGGCAGGGTTGTCCAATCTCACCATTTCTCTTCAACTTTGCTATCGACGACATCCTGGAAACAGCTTTGATGGATGTAAGTAATGGCGGTGTGGATCTGCTGCCTGGAGAACGACTTCTCGACCTTGAGTATGCAGATGATATTGTCTTACCGTGCGATAATGCTCAAGCCATGCAATCCGCACTTAATCAGTTGGCAATCAGTGTCCGCAGGTACGGTATGTGCTTTGCACCCTCCAAGTGCAAAGTACTCCTACAAGACTGGCAGGATTCTCATCCTGTACTCACCCTGGATGGTGAGCAGATTGAAGTAGTTGAGAAGTTCGTGTATCTAGGTAGCTGGTGGGAGCGTGAGTGATGAGATTGAGGCACGTATAATGAAAGCCAGAGCGGCTTTTGCCAATCTGGGCCATCTTTGGCGCCTTCGTGATGTTAGTCTGGCTGTAAAAGGTCGGATCTACAACGCGTCGGTGAGAGCAGTTTTGCTCTGTGCTTGTGAAACCTGGCCTCTCCGAGTTGAGGATGTCAGACGACTCTCTGTGTTCGATCACCGTTGTCTCCGAAGGATTGCTGACATTCAGTGGCAACACCATGTTAGTAATGCAGAGGTTCGGCATCGTGTGTTCGGGCACAAAGACGATAATTCAATTGGTGTCACCATCTTGAAACACCGACTTCGGTGGCTTGGACTTGTTTTACGAATGTCGTCCCAGAGACTTCCACGTCATGCATTATTTGCCGACGCTGGGACTGGTTGGAAAAAGCGGAGAGGAGGTCAGTATATGACATGGTGTCGTGGCATTAAAGGGAACTGCAAAGGGCTAGCTTCTGTTGGTCCTTCACGACTCCCTGGCTGGGGTCCGAGAGATGGTGCAACACAGTGGCTAGAGACGTTATCAGATATGGCTCAGAATAGAAGCCAGTGGTGTGCCTGCTGTAACCTTCTTCTACTTTCTTCATAAAGAGTGGCTATAACTTTCCTAACTGAGAGAGCTCTTCTGGTTGTACATTCAGTTCCCCCCATCATTACTCTTCTCCTTTTCTTTTTTTTCCTTCTTTTATATATACGCATCTTCTTCCTTCTCCCATTCTCATTATTTTGTGTGGCGCATATGTATCCGGTGCCCTTTGTACCAATATATATGTGATTAAATAAATAAATAAAATAATAACTTATTTGACAGTTGTGAAGTCCTGTATAGACAAATACATAAGAGTGAGACAAAAAACATTACCTGCAGTAAAGCATATGCCAGTTGAGGATTTTGGAGTAACATATTACGTGCTTCATTAGGATTGTTTTGTATACAAAGTTTCATCTGCTTCATTAGTTCATACATTTGTTCAGGTGGTAAGCTAGCAACTGCTCGACTAATAGCTTCTGGTGCAGCTTGTGGATCAATATTATCTCCATATGGGCTTTCAAGTGGCGGGCCGACGGATGGGTTACTTAGAGCCAGTTCAGCAGAATTTTGTTCGCCAGCAGCTGGTCCGATACGCAGCGGACGGCCATTGAATTCAATATTTTGAAGATTCCGCAAAGCACTCGCAGCAATAGCTGGGTTATTGTATTCACAAAATCCATAGCCTTTGGGTTTCCCAGATTCTCTATCATATACCAAACGAAAACCGATTACAGGACCAGCCTATGATAATAATAAAGTAGGGTGAGAATTATTACCTTGCTAAATAGTTCGATAAGCTTTTCCTCAGTCGCTTCATACGGTATGTTGCCTACGAAGATAGATCGCGCGGTCTTCTCAGCAGCCTCCTTAGTTAACACGGGTGCCGCCATCAAAGCTAACCTTCTGGAAAGATTTTAACTGATATGGACTACGATTTATTAATAAGGAAATGTCTATAAAATAAGAACATGGAAAAAGGACGACAGAAGTTACTTCAAGGATATGCGATAAAACTTGAAAAAGTAACTAAAAACTGGTTAGCCAAGTGGGAATTCGCGTCTTACGCTATAGACCCCAATTCTTACAAATGGATTAACAATTATTATTCGGTCAAATTAGATTAAGTACATTAAGGTTACGAGAAACGACCTGACATCTGGTAACAAAAGAAATCAAAACGAAGCGACAATTATGTTTATCACTTTATGGAGCAACTAATTTCACTTTAGCTTGAAGTACATAAAACACAAAACCTTGATTTTGTAATACTACAAGAAGTCTAGTAAGATTTAAGAAACCAAGTGGTTTTCCTCCATACTATCGTGAATCGGGCGATCATTTACAGACACATTTCTTTGAATAGCAATTTGAAGGAAATTTAAACAAGTTTTGTGACTGCTTTTCCCCCACTTTGCAACAAAGTACTGTCAGATGCCACGAGGATTTTCGTACATAAATACAACGGACATCGCGTACAAAAGAGTATCGAAGTTGCCACATACTCTACGACCGCAGAATAGCGAAGCAAAAAGGATATCCCAGAAAAAATGAATGAGGAGAGAAACTTAAGTGACAAGACGTTTAGGATCCAACAAGAGATAAATAGGGGATACACTACCAATGATACTGTACTATATCACTCGTATTGTATAACCACGTATCGTATAGAATATTTCACTTACGAAACCAACATCCCAACGGTTTAATGAGGGATGTTCGGAATTTATCCCTAATTAGGAGACACATAACTGTTCACCAACGATAATTATACACTTAAACATATCAAGCAGCAAAGAGTGGGTTAATGAATGGAAGATGAACTTGATTATTTCCTTCAAAACATAAAGGTTATGTTGGCATTTCGTGTCACACATAATAGCTCACTTACTGAGATCTGCCTTTTGTTTTCTGTAGGATTAATATTTCCCACCCCATCACAATGTGTTCTAAACCATTAATGGATGTTACATAGCTCTATGTTTTCGCTAACTTGGAGTGACAATATATTGTCACTTCTTGTGATTATAATCACAGGAATAACACAAAAGGTTCAACGTGAAATATGGAAAACTTAAAATACGTAGGCTAGTGATTTTTGATAAGTATGGTTAGATTTTGGATGCTAACATGTCTTTTGTTCATTATTTTCATGTTAAACATAGTCTAGTCTTGCACAATAGATGACTAGGTGGACTAGTGTATAGACTCTCGAAAACTATAGACAGTTTCTAGACAGGATAATCACGTCCAATGTGAAGAATTTCCTATTTATGTTAATGACACCTGAACTGAAAATACAAGAGAAAAAGTCCTAAAACCTACGTCAAGTGCACTGAAGGTCGAAGCGGCAGGTAAACATTGAACTTGAAAAGTTGAGCCTTTTCAACATTCAAACTTTTCTTGGTACAATAAAATGTTTCCTTGAGATCTGTGTCTGAGTAATAGGAGTGTTTTTTTCTGTTACTATTGTCATATCCCTTCTAGAAACTCAGGGGCGAAATAATTAAGTTATTTTTAGAGGTCGTCGATGAGTAACACTGGGGACAGTCACTCTCAGTGCCAATGGAACATAAGTCTCCGGTCTTCAGCAAAACGTATAGTAGATCTTTTTACTTGTGTTAGTCCTTGGGACTTGTTTCTCATTGAAGATTCAGCCTTTCCCTGAAAGTTTTCACTAATAGGGCTGATATCCCTTGTACGGGTAGGGCACTCCATATTGTTGAAATAGTTCTGAGCGCAAGAGAAGAAGCTTTTGCTCAATGGGCCTCCGTATCTAGTAGTAGTGGATCACCAATGCCTCTAGACTGGGAATTAGGTATACTTTATGACAAGAAGGAAAATATGAGTGAATTATAGTGAATTAAAGTGTTCTCATAAAGTACTCCTGCGAGGTCACTCGAACTACCGCAGTCGACAGCGAATTCCAGGATCTGACTATTGTAGGGGGCGAAAGGCGTGCTTACAGTCCATTAATTTTAGGATTTGACCTCCGAGCTTAAGTATGCATTTGAGAGGATACCCAGAATGTCTAGGATGTTATTGGTCATTGGAAGGTCACATCTGAGACGCCTATACTCTAATGACCAAATGTTCGGCAATCGGAGGCGCTTTTCATAAGGTTTGGCTTCGATTCACTCAAGTGAATTCGTATCTCGCCGTTGGATACGTTTCAGTGTATTCCTATCCTTTTTAGGTGAGGGAGGAAACACTATATTTCCATAATCTAAATGTGGTCGGCTGAAGCTGTTGAAGACTAATTGAAAAGTTCTACCTTTGAACTGGCCAAAAAGACCCTTCAATGTCATTAATGCAAGGCATTTTTGTCGTAGTAATTATAAGACTCTATGTCATATGGTGCCGATGTAACAACTTGGGTTAAGAGTTGGCCGTAAAACCCTTAGTAAGTGTCAGAACATTATGGCTGAATTATGCATTCACTTCATTATTTTGTGTTAGCATTATATTTCATACTATTCGCTTTTGATTGTTGAAGAGCTATGTGTGTTTGAAAGAGATAATCTCACGCTTCAGTTGTGCGGCCCACGATCTGAATAAAGACATATTCACCATGTCCGTTTTTATCTATTACTAGAACGAGTGGTACCCACTGTCACGAAATTTGTGAGCTCTATTTTGAACACAAGTTTTATTTCCACCCTGTTTATCATTATTTCTAAGCTTAGTCGTTAAAATTAAACCCACTGATTATATTTAACATAAGATTTTCATCCACTGTTTCTTTCGCAAGGTGTTTGTGTTGTAATCACTATTTTACTCCCGTTCACATTGTGTTAATATATTGGTCGTATAATACACGACAGAGTCAGTCGAAACCGAGAGCCTGGAGAATAAATGTAATTAACTACCGGTAGAGATAGACACTATTATGACTACTGAAGTTCGACTCACAGAATTTGGTCGCAGTAACTCGGAGTTGTGGTTTGCTCAACTAGCGGATTACTTTACGAGACACAATACCAAATCTAAGTTAACTCACCACCGAAATTTATGCTCTGTCCTCCTCCCATCAGTGACCAAAGTGATCCGTGACAGAACTTTGAGTCCACCAACATCACAATGAAACAACACCTTACGATGAAAGATAATGGACCGTATATATTTACCAGACAGAGAGAGAATTAAAAGGCTATTCCAAGGAGGAATATTAGATGATAGGACACCATCAAAGTCTTTACGTCATTAAGTCTTAGTGGGCGACAACAAAGTGAGTGAAGCAGTCCTAAAACAAGAATGGATACAAGCTCTCCCATGCTACGTCCAACATTGTTTGGATGCACAAGACCTGGATACCTCTCTACCTAGCTTTGCACGTACTGCAGATAGAATAATAGAAAGAGACACCTCAAATGGATCACATACGATACACAATGCAAAGAAAGAAGGATTAGAAAAAGAATCGGTCATGGCAGAACTCAATACGAGTGTTAAAAGTCTCACACAAGCTTTCAACAAAATTTAAATGGGTGAAAGAAACAGGAACAGGTCACCACAGCTATCAAGATCAAAACCACAGAACAGGCTACAAACGCCCAGATAAGCTGGATAGCTCTGTTGGTATCATTAGATGTTTGTTGTCAAGTTCAGTCAGTCAGCCAAGTTCAGTCAACTATGTACCTGGCTTGAACAGACCCCCAAGAATGAGTCACGAATAAACCCTCTCTAGGTTATAACGACTGAGAAGGAGTGCCTAACCACTCACTTGCTTTATGTTAGAGACAAAAATTCAGGCTTGCACTTTTTGGTGGATACTGACGCTGTTCTTGATATCATTCTCCAGAACAAAACTAATCTGAATCAAAACTCCTCCACCGGTTACACTTCAAGCTGTCAACAAAACTAAAATCGCAACGTTTTAGCAGTAAACACCGATGCTGGACGTGGGGTTTGGAAGATAATTCCTTTGAGTGTTCACCATAGCCGACTTAGATCTGACAATACCGCGAATGGTTGTTTTAGAGATATAAACTTCTAGTCGATACCAGAAAGAAACGTTTGACAATGAAATTAACTCCGAGTACCACAATATGTAAGGAACGTCACATCAATTCTCTAAACCTAATGCATACCCCACTAGTAACAACCACGAACTTCCAGGATTTACTCGCGTAATTTTCAAACATAACTAAGCCTAACCCTCATACTTCCACAAGTAGACTAAAAGTAATTCATACGATCAAAACTGAGGGCTCACTTGTGTTCGCTAGGCCCAGGAAACTATCACCAGTTAAGCTTAAAATCACTAGAGCCGAATTCAACTACATGCCATAGCTGGGTATTATCAGTCCGTCTAATAGCCAAGGGGCGACCCCTTTGGATATGGTCCGGAATAAAATTGAACGCGATTAGCAACCATGAAGGGATTACAGGTCCCTCAACTGTTCAACAGTACCAGATGTGATGTCTGAGTAGGGAGCAGATGTGTTTGCACGTACCAGATCATTGCAAGTGAGGGCTTCATCAAAAGTCTTACCAACTTATGTGTTACACCTGCCATATGTATTTCGGAGGAGAGACTGTTCGATATTACTACAAACTTGATGAAGAAGACGTTTACCCAAGTTTCGACCCATATTTTTCAACTTTTATGGTAGATACTTTATCTCGAAAGTCGTATATATTCGGGCCTTGGATAGGAACTATATTGCGAGTAGAGTGAGATTTTGTAGGAGCTTGAAGTAGAGAAACAAATTTGACGTAAACGTTGTTTTCAGAGGGGTTCTAGTCCTAGATCATGTCATCGGGAACGATAGTTAATGAGCGACTGGAATGAAAACCCTTTAAACTAATTGAGTTTTCGATGTTCAGACTTCAGAATTTCTCGGACACAATAAGCCCAGAGGAGATTACACCATTAGACGATGCCCCATACAAAGTTCTCTAGCACCATTTAGAAGCTCTATATGTTTAATTAACTTTTATCATGGTTTCTTACCTAGTTGTGCATAATGAATACAAATTTTGACAGATTACCTTAAGGGAAATCTATTGCTCTGGAAAGCTACCCATCAACAGAACTTAACTTTTGGTATCCAATTCGTATTATCTTATTTTTTTATCGATCCTGAACTGAGGACACTGTATCCGCGATCACAAATCAAATTATATAGGGCGGCCATCACAAGCATAAAGTAACATATTTAGCAGAGTTGAATGAAGAATTCAACTTCGATCGAGTTCACATGGATATTAATTAAAAATCACGTCCTGTTTTAATACGTAGTCTTTCTCCACATACCTACTCGGTATCTATTTTCCCCCATGATCAAACATTTATGAGTATTGGAGTATTTATTGATATTTGCTGTATATTACCTATTTTGTGGGTACGGTGAAGCAATTCTTCGAAGATGACTGATTTTAAATTCAACTTAGTATTGTTTGTTTGAATCTTCCCATCGATTTGTTAGGACTGCAACTGGTCAGTCTCTAATTGGCATATGTGCATACTGTGCGTATTGCCTCGATATACCTTAATTCACAAGCATGGTTAGCAGAGATGGATAGTGGCTAGCAGTGGAATCCAGGACGCGCGTTTCGTCCTATTTGGGACTCGTCAGCTGGATGTACCTGCATCTCAGAGTTGATGTTCACTCTGGGACTCGAACCCAGTACCCTCGCTTCGAACGCCATCGCGTTATCCACTCGGCCACTGAGTCCTGATAGCCACCTGCTTGTGCGATGGGGTGAAGTTTAAATTCAACTTAGTATTGTTTGTTTGAATCTTCCCATCGATTTGTTAGGTACATCCAGCTGACGAGTCCCAAATAGGACGAAACGCGCGTCCTGGATTCCACTGCTAGCCACTATCCATCTCTGCTAACCATGACTGATTTTGTTTATGTTTTACGTTCCAGAGATATTTTTTCTTCTGTTCTTGACCTAAGGATGGCTCAAATTACAGGTGAATAAACTCTTGACAGCCAGGCATACCATGGGAAAATCCTAACTCCCAAACATGGCAATAAGTAGCCCACTAGCATCATTTCCTCAAAAGTGTCCTTTTTTCAATTTCCTACTTCTCATTATCTTACTAGCTCTGAATATCATATACGGCTCATGTAGTTGCGAACCACTTGTTAATACTAACACATAGTAGCTAAAGTATTTATTTATTCCTTTAGTTTGTGTAATGACGATTTTTCTATTATCGGACACTAAATATTAGGATGTCTGAGTGTTAGGACGTAGGACGTTTCGCTCTAACAGTCCCACGATCGTGTAGTAAAAACCTACTACAACCATTATTGTTAATAGACTTATTCAATTTGACGTTTTTAGTGCAATATAGAATTCTCAGCACAAATTAGTTTGATAGATTTCCTTAACAAAACAATGAAAGAAGAAACCGATAGTTGCGTACATAAATACATAAATCAAGTACATGAGCTATTTGAAATCAAATGAAATGTTTTGAAGAATATTAGCATTTGTATAAATTTTTACCAGAAACATGTTAAAGAATACAAGCTATTGATTGGGTCGTCACGTAGTATATTTGTCAGATAACATATTGTACTTACTTACCTACTTACTTACGCCTGTTATCCCTCGTGGAAGAGCATAAGTCTCTCACTAACATCCTCCATCAAACTTTGTCCTGGACAACCCTTTCATTTTTTTTCAGTAGATCTATTTATTATATCTTTTCTTGTGTGCTTGAATTCTAATGTATCGGCATCTCCTTCCACCAGAAGATATACTAGGAGAAAGATATGAATGAAGTGGATGGTTACTATCTGATAACATAAAACCTGATAGACGTTTGCAAGATTTCAAATGTCTGTCCACAAACATATTATTTATGACATGAAAATATTCAACACACACCCTCCTAACTAACTCCACCTGTAGCTCTTCTAGAGTTACTGCCGGTTCCAAGCCCGGGTAAAGGGGGAGGGTTGGGCATGGGGTTAGCGACCCCATCTCGTAGAAAAGCTAACTCGCTAAAAAACGCTAGCCAGAAAAAATAATTCAAACCATTTAAACTCTGCCCTTGGAATTGAAGGAATAATTATGACGCCTCGTGATGAAAGCCGAGTTCCTTCGGAAGTCACGAAACCGATGCACCTTCTAACATTCAAAGCAACACTCTTTATAGGTACATGGAACGTCCGGACAATGTGGGAGACAGGAAAAACCAGTCAAATAGCAATGGAAATGAGGAGATACAAATTGGCAGTACTCGGAATCAGCGAAACAAATTGGACACAAACTGGACAACAAAGGCTAGGTACAGGAGAGATGCTGCTGCACTCCGGTCACGAAGGGGAAAATGCTCCACACACTCAGGGAGTTGCTCTAATGCTGTCCAAAGAAGCACGAAATGCACTTGTGGGATGGGAATCTCATGGACCCAGGATAATCAAAGCATCATTCAGAACAAAGAAGCAAGGGATCACAATGAATGTTATCCAATGTTATGCACCCATCAATGATAGCAACGACGATAATAAAGATCAGTTCTATGAAAGGCTGCAACCAATTATAGCGAAGTGCCCACGAAAGGACCTCACTATCCTGATGGGAGATCTAAATGCTAAAGTTGGAGTGGACAACACAGGATATGAAGATATAATCGGACGACATGAACTAGGAGAGAGAAATGAAAATGGGGAGAGACTTGCAAATCTATGTGCATTCAACAAATTGGTTATAGGCGGTACAATATTCCCACACAAGCGCATACATGGACCTCGCCGGACCACACCACAGAGAACCAGATAAATCACATCTATATCAACCAAAAATTCCATAGGTCAATGGAAGATGTGAGAACCCGGAGAGGAGCTGACATAATTTCAGATCACCACCTGGTTGTGGCCAAAATGAGAGTGAAGCTAAAGAAACACTGGACAACTGGACAAACAGCACTACAAAGGTTCAATACAGCCTTCCTTCAAGATACTGACAAGCTCCACGAATTCAAGATAACTCTCAACAATAGGTTCCAGGCTCTAAAGGATCTACTGAAAGAACAAGAAACTACTTTGGAGGACAACTGGAAAGGGATAAAAGAAGCACTAACTTCAACGTGCCAGGAGGTTCTTGGTCCTAAGAAGCATCATCACAAGGAATGGATCTCTATGGGAACCCTGGACAAAATTCAAGAAAGGAAGAACAAGAAACTAGTAATTAACAACAGCCGAACACGAGCAGAGAAAGTCAAAGCACAAGCAGACTACGCAGAAGAAAATGGAGAAGTGAAGAAAGGCATTAAAGCCGACAAGCAGAAATACATGGGAGAACTAGCAACGACGGCGGAAAAAGCTGCAAGAGAAGGGAACATAAGACAACTATATGCCTATGCTCCTCGATGAGGGGTAACAAGGTATCAACAACAAAAACCCTCCTAACTGTCTTCAAAACTCTCCGCAGTACAGAGAATTCTTTTTTCAAAAGCGTGG